AACCGCGTAGCTTCTCTAATATCTGCCCTTATCACTGTGCAGATGCTCAAATAGTAGGATACCGTCTATGTTCTTAAGTAGCACTCTAGTCGTTTAGAATCAAATAGACTATGCAATCGTCAACGAAACGCTGTTTGGTCGTGCCCCTGAACGTTTCCGTTTTACACACAATTTTAGTTTTCTTTACGCACAGCAGTATATTACAGCATAACAGTGAAATTATGATATACTGCTTGTTGTCAAAGTGTTAAACATTTCATCATTGAAACTGTTGTGTGTGATGTACGCTTGTCACGATCATCTTTAACAGCATGCCGCCTTCGTAAAATGTGTTTAGTTCGCTCATCTCCACTTTTCGCATTTTGATGCTCGGAGTTATTGGCTGCGTCAACAGAGAAGAGATTCCTCATCGACAACGGATCTTGGTTTAATTTTTGCTGCCATGTGATGTGCTAGTCACTGATATATCGCCGTCTACGTTTGAATTCCCATGTCAGCGGCTGATGAGCTAGTGAGGCTTCATTGCTTCGCTGTAAATGGTGAAACCACACCATCCGTTTGTCTCAGCATTTCAATGCATCGGTTAATGCCAAAATTCAGTCGCTTTTTACGTGTTTGAACCACCTGATCTTCAACAGCCGTCGCAACCTATACTGTAGTATGCTGCCCAGTCGATGTTCCTGTACACCAGTTAGTGCAACTGTTTTCAAGCTGTATATTACAACTGGTCTGAGAGCGGCGCAGCAGAATCGGAATTGGTGGTGCCTGATATTCTGCTTTCTGTCCAAACGTTCGACAGGCTCTTGAGAGTGCACGACGTTCGTGCAATTCTTTTTTTAGGTCTTGTTCACAGTTGCCATCCATCCTAATGATCACGCGCAGGTAATTGAACTACGCGACTTCTTCGATGGTACTGTTTCCCTGGAACACCGGTTTCACCTTGCCTTCTTGGTTTGTCATCATTTTTGTCTTTACAAGGTTCAGTTAAAAGTCTGCTGTCGCCCCAGTGTTGTGTGCTGCTTCACTGAGTGAGTGGATACCGTTATCGCTGTCGCCCAGCGAGGTAACGTCATTAGAATCGGTCAAGTTAGTCATCTTCGCTGGGTTTCTCGAATTTCACTTCCGTTTCAACAAGATGTCTGCGGCGTGCTGTTCCGCGTTGCTTCATAAGATGTGATCCACCATTACACTGAATCGCAAAGGAAAAAGAACGACGTCCTGCCTGGCCCCATGTTTGAACTCGAACCAATCTCAGATTCGTTTTTCGGCTGACTTTCACACCGCTGATCGTCCCATTGTACATTCTTTTTATAAGGGCAGCAATCTGCTGGCTGTGGGACTACGAAGTTGAGAATAATCTTCAGCATTGTTCAGTGGTGAATGGAGTCAATGCAGAAGATCAGTGTAGAAGTACCTCTCAGCGTTCAGTGCTAGCCTTTTCAACCATCGACATTCCTTTTCTGGCGTTAATTGCAGAATAATTCTGTGAGAGATCGAGCAGCACATGTTATCTCGACTTTTGTGCATCGCGGTTATAACTCCCTTCTTCCTGTAGTTGGAAGAGTCTGAAGAAATCTCTCGAAAAAGCTTGAGCAATATGCCTTCGTTACCGAATCAACACGATTTGT